GGTCCCGATGTGAGGCACACTCCGAGGGTCCCTGCTCAAGCAGTTTTGATAGTTTAACAGGTCTGAATTGCTGCCAATCTCGCCGTTCCAGTTGCGATCAAATCTATTCAGAATCCACTGGCTGACATAGTCTCTTCATGGTTGGGGTTCTGAGATCAGCAGTTCAGTTGGAGGGATCTCCAAAGAAACTTTATCTGAGATGATCCCAGATCTGATTCTTGTGTGAGTTTGCCAGTACAGGGTCTGGCACAGTCCATCTCCCCAATCAGCTTATGCACATACTGGTTATTGCAATTGCTGGGTCAGTTCTGTTTCCAGTCCTGTCTTCCATTTGAGCCAATGGGTGTTGTAGTCCAGCTGGATCCTACCCACTTCATACTCGGTCCTCAAGCAAACCAGAGGGAGCTGCAGCCTAGTTGGGGCGACTCCCCATAATCCCCACCAGGCCTGCTCCCGATTCTGGTTCCCATGCATGCCAGTATTGCTATTTATTTCAGAATTTTTTCCCCGTATAAATGATAATGCCTTGGAGCAGGTGTTGTGGCACAGCACATTAAACTACCACTTGAGACACCTGCATTGCATATCAGAATTCCTGAGTTGGAGTTCCAGCTGTATTTCCAATTCTGGCTTCCTGCTAATGTGTACCTTGGGAGGCAGGAAGTAATGGCCCAAATACTTGGGTTCCTGTTGCCCACATGGGAGGCCCTAGTTGAAATCTTGGCTCGTGGCTTTGGTCTGCTCCAGCCCTGATTGCTGCATGTATTTGGGGTAGTGAATTGGTGGATGTAAGTTCCCTCTCCCACTGCTTCTTTCTCTGTCACTCTGCCTTTCAAGAAAATAAGTGAATATTTTTCCCCAGAAAAGTCTTTTATTGTTGTATGTTTATATTATTCAATTAAGAAGTATTGAATTAAGTATTCAACATACTCTCCAAAACAGTAGGATCGTAGGAAAATGACTAATCATGACTTTGAATCTTTGCTTTTGTAATAATCAAGTGAATAATCTGTTGTCTTTTCTGTGTATTTTAATGACCGTATTCAACACAGAACTTTGATATTGATGTTTAGGAAGAAAATGTTTTGTACAAGTTTTATTGCATTTATTGAAAAGACAGTTTCAGAGAGAGGAGAGGGAAAAGGAGAGAGACAGAGAAAGATCTTTCAACTGCTATTTCACGTCACAGATGAGAGCTGGGCCAGGTTGCAGGAAGGCTGGCACTCCATCTGGGCCACACAGCTGGCAGGGCCTCAGCTACTTGACTGTCCACCTCTTACTTCCCAGGTGGGTGAATTAACATAAAGCTGGATTGGCAGTGGAGTAGCTGGAATAAAATTGGTGCTCATGGGCCTAGTGTGATAGCCTAGTGGCTAAATCCTTACGTTTTATCCACTGAGATCCCATACGGGTGCCAGTTCGTATCCTAGCTGCTCCACTTCCCATCCAACTCCCTGCTTGTGGCCTGGGAAAGCAGCTGAGGATGATCCAAAGCCTTGGGACCCTGAACCCAGGTGGGAGACCTGGAGGAAGCTCCTGGTTTTGGATCAGCTCAGCTCCAGCTGTTGTGGCCACTTGGGGAGTGAACCAGTGGATAGATCTTTCTCTCTCTCCTTCTCTCTGCATATCTGCCTTTCCAATAAATAAATAAATCTTAAAAAAGTTGATGCTCATATGAAATACTAGCCATAGGTGCAGCTTAACCCACTGTGCCACAACACTAATACCTCTTTTTAATTTTGTTGGTTAGTTTTTTTTTTTTCTTTTAATAGATAGTTACGTGAATTAAACTTATTTGGTATTTTATATGTTTATATTCATACATATGTGCAAACATTTCTTAGATAAAAATGTTTGTTTATAGGGTGTTATATGCTCAATTTCTTTTTTCTTTGAGGGTATGTATATTATCAGAAGTATTACATTGGGTCTGGCACGGTAGCCTAGTGGCTAAAGTCCTTGCCCTGCACACGCCAGAATCCCATATGGGCGCCAGTTTTAATCCTGACAGTCCCGCTTCTAATCCAGCTCCTTCCTTGTGGTCTGAGAAAGCAGTTGAGGATGGGCCAAAGCCTTGGGACGCTGCACCCACATGAGAAACCTGAAAGAGGTTCCTGGCTCCTGGCTTCAGATTGGTGCAGCTCCGGCCGTTGTGGTTGCTTGGGGAGTGGATCAATGGATAGAAGATCTTCCTGTATGTCTCTCCTGCTGTCTGTATATGTGACTTTCCAATAAAAATAAGTAAATCTTTAAAAAAAGTATTACCTTGAACTTATTTTTATTGTAAGATATATGTTTTGTAAAGTCGTATTCTTCATACAGTTGGTCATTTCACATTGTTCCGTGGATGATAGTATGCATTTCTATTGTTTTTTGTTGCTTGCTTTATCATATACTGAGTTCTTGGGCACAAAGCAGCTCTCTCTAGCGTTGGCCTGGCCCTTGGGAAACAGAGATCTGGTGTCCCAGGTGGCAGCAGGTGACCCAGCTACCCAGGCTCTCTGAGCTTTCTAAATGTGCTCAGCAATCCAGTAAACACAGGGCACTTGCTCCTCTTGGTCCCTGGGCTTTCCATGACTGTGGCCCACTTGTCTGCCTACCACGTGAGAAGGCCAGACAGCCTGCTCATCACAAGCTCCTTGCCAGAGTGTTTGTTCGGAGCATGGTGTGCCTGGGCCTGTGGTGTCACTGCTGGGGCAAGGAGGGGGCACAGGACCAGTCCAGGGCGAGCTCTTGCCTTATGTAGATGCTGTCATGGATGCTCGCATGACGGCTCTTCAGCAATGAGAAGGAGCCAGGGTCAGCTCTGGGAAAGGGACATGTGTGTGTGTGTGTGTGTGTGTGTGTGTGTGTGTGTTGTGGCAGGCAGAGATGTTGGGGACAGGAAGTGGCGGGGAGGGAGAAGAAAAATGACCCTGGGATGTTCTTTGAGATTATCCTCCTGGTTTCTTCTTCTTTTTTTTTTTTTTCGCGTTGCTTCCTGCCTTCCTTTTGGTTTATTTATTTGAGAGAGATAGTGAGAGAGCAAGCTTTCATTTGCTAGTTCATTGCTCAAATTGCCACAGTGGCTACGTGGCCGGGAGCCAGGAGCTCTGCCCAAGTCTCCCACGTGGGTGGCAGGGACCAAGCACCTGGGCTGTCTTCCGCTGCCTTCCCAGGTCTTTCATCAGGGAGCTGGCTGGGAAGTGGAGCCGCAGGCATCCCCACAGGCACCCGCATGGGATGAAGGCATCGAAGGAGAACCCAAACCAACTCTAAATCCAAGGGCTCTCTTTGAATTATTATCAAGGAGCAGAATATGTACATTTGATAGAGTTGGCGTGTCTCAGGAGGCAGCCTGCTCAGTAAATCTGTCACACATTAAAAACTGTATTTATTATGTGGTCGGGGATAAAGGCAAGCAATTCCACAAAATCTCCAGCTGGCAGAGAGTAGATTGCCAGGGCTCTGGCTACTCGTTCAAATGACCATAAAGTAGACCCCCCCCACCCCCCAAACTTCTCTGAAGGGAAGTTCACTGGAACCTAAAGACAGCTATTCCTTTGGGGAGACCAAACATAGAAATACTACATCTACTGCTGTGTATTACTTTTCTCTATGGATTTTTTTAAGGACCTGTTAAGCATGGGCGACTCACTGAATGTTCTTTGAGCCGATACCCACATCAGCTACGGTTCATCTCACGGGGTTCATGCCAACCGCCAGGCATTCAAAACGTCTACATTGTGTACTAATTGTTTCACTTTCCTACTGAAATGGGCACCCACAGTCCCACGAGGGATGAAATACGAAGCAGACACTGGTCTCACTGTTAGGATGCTTTTAGCTTGGTCTAGACCCAAGAGGAGTCTTCATCAAAAGCAGCAGGTGGAGAAGTGTCTTAAGCCAGCTGACGGGGCACTTCCGGCTGGGCTCTGAGGCCAAGGGACCATGCCCACAGCAGGCTGAAAATGGGCGTACATGGCTGGCCCACTCGTGTTGCTGTGTGTGTTTTCGCACGTTACTTGGTGCTTCGAGGAAAGCCATGAAGAACATTTGTGCCGTGGACCAGGAATAGTGGGGTTCCTGGGAGGCCCAGGATGGCATCAGGGGAATTAGGGACCCCCGAAGGAGGGTCAAGTCACCTTCGGCTCAGGAGAACTCCCGAGAGTCAAGAGTAGAGAGCTTTTGCCGGAACACCCAGATCAGTCCCGGACATCTCCACCCCAGCTCCCGTCCCACTCCCGCCCCAGCTGCGGCCACCTCGGGACCGTCAGGGGGAGCTCGCTGTGCTGCTTGCGGCACTCGGGGCGCCTCCTCCTGCACCGCGCGAGCTCCCCGCCGTCCGCAAGCTCCTGCTCGGCGGCCGCACTGACCGACTGGGCGGCGGCCGGGCCATCCTCCCAAGGCTGGGCCAAAGACTTGTACGTGGGGGTCCGTGGCGGCAGCCCCCCAAGCACGCTCTGTCCCCGGGTTCCGTTTGTGACCGCTGGAGCCTGAGGAGTCCCGGGCGGACTGTGGGTGAAGGGCGGCGTGGCGCGAACCAGGCTCTGTCAGAGCGTCACTCCTAGCCATAAAATAATGAGATCTTTCGCCTTCTTCCCACGTCTTTTCCTTACACTTTCTATCGACTTGCCTATTACTAGTTTTTCTCCTTCCTATCCACCCTGCAGGGCTCCCCCCCTCAGGAGGGCCGGAGCGGAACCCTCGCTCGCCTGCTAGCGCCCCCCAGCGCCCGCGCCCGGCTGCAGTCCCCGGCAGCCGCCTTCCCCGCACCCCCCTCCCACCCCACGCCGCTCCGGGGACGCCCCGCCCCAACCCAGCTCCGCCCCCAGCCGCTGCTCTCTGATTGGTCGACCGGGCGTCTCTTCCCTCCCCGTCGCCCAATGGGCGCTGCCACCTGGTCCAAAAAAAAAAAAATTCCCCCTGAGGGGGACCCGAGGGGCTAGGCCACCTCCAGCTCCCGCGGGGCGGCGGAGACGGCCGCGGCGGGACGCCGAGCGGGGACGGCGGCGACGGCGGAGGAGGACGGAGGTGTCGGGCAGAAAACTTCGGAAGGGGGAACAGGAAACCTGCGGGGCGGTGGCACCGCGGCTTCCCGGGACGCACGTCGCGGGGTGTCGGCCGCCGCGCCCCCGGGCTGCGCCGCGCCCTCAGCTTCGGCGGACGAAGAGCATGAGGCAGCATGTCCGATAAGATGTCCAGCTTCCTCTACATCGGGGACATCGTGTCCCTGTACGCCGAGGGCTCGGTCAGTGGCTTCATCAGCACCCTGGGGTAAGCGGCAGTGTCTCCCGTGTCCTCGCCCGGAGCAGCCCCGTGCGCTCTCCTCGCTCGCTCGCTCGCCCGCCAGCCTGCCTGCCTGCCTGCCTGCCTGCCAGCCGGCGCGCGCGGGAAGCGGGCAGCCGGGCGAGGACGCCGAGGCTGGGCAGTCCCGGGGCCCACGGAGCCATCCATGAAGGAGGAAGTGAGCCCGGGGCACCAGGCCGGCGCAGAGGGCGGCCGGCCGGCCGGCAGTGTGGGCAGGCTGCTCCGTGGGCTGCTTGCGGTCGCGGCTCGCGCGCTCGTGTCTTTCCCGTCAGGGGGGAATCCCTCACCCGACGCCTCCTCCTCGCCTGGCGCCCTCGTGCTCGCCGCTGCAGCGTCTCTCCCCTGGTTCCCAGCGGGCAGCTTGGACAAAAGTCTGTGGCCCCCCGGACGAGGGGCGCGCGCGCACGCGAGGTGGCCGAGCCGTGGCGTGGCTTTGTCCCGCAGGTGGAGCCCGTCGTTGTCCCCGGAGCTGCACGGATTTCCTCTTGGCCTGGCCTGGGGTCCTCCCTCGCCAGTCCCCCTGGTTCTAGGACTGGGATCTGTGCAGTGCCGGACGTCCCCTGGAACTATGCCCTGCAACGGATTCTGGGCCTTGGAGCACCCCCTTGAACATGCCAGGTGGTGGCCCAGGACTTCTGGGTGGGTCTTGTGTTTTCCCTGTTCTGGACGTGCAAGCCAGTGTGCAGCACTTGAATTGCTTGCTGTAGTGTGTGTCCGTGACAGCGAACTCATGATCTGGAGGTCCACTGGTTGGTTAGTTCCCTTGTCTGTGGCTGTTCGGTTTCTGGGCACCTGACTTGGCACGTCCTGGTCCTGGCCCATGACCGCAGCAGCCCTGCTGTCATGCTGCCTGTCGACTCAGCACTGGCCAGTCCTTCCAGGGCTCCTGTTGTGGGGATGTTTCCCCCAAAGAGTAAAGGAAGGGAGCGGATTGAACTTAATCCCTGTTATTTACTTGTGAAACTGAAGCTGGAAGGAAGAAATGTCAGGATAAGTGCTTGAGCCGGGTTGGGGGATAGTGCACTGTGCCATTGTTTCTGACCGGATTCCTGGTGCAGGTTCACTTTTGGGGGACCTCACCTGTACCTGACAGATGAACTCTGCTTAGTAGACACTCTTGGGTTTGGGCAGTGCAGGAGTTAAGGGGTGTATGTGTGTGTGGCATTCTGGGCACAGAGTGCTCCATTTGTAAACCTGGTGATCCCCAGGGGCAAATTGCATAATCCCTGTGTGTGTCCAGCGTCCTCTAGAATTGGGAGTTGTGGTGGGCCCCACTCCGAGTTGAGAAGAAAGAGAGAGTTAGGGTGGCGGTGGGGATATCACAGGCGCTTCTGAGGGTGCTTGCTGTTGCGGTCCTTGTTGCTGAGCAGTAGTTAGGATCGGGGACAAAACGGTGGGCGGGACCAGGGTAGTATAAAGGCTAGTCTTAAAGCCACGTGTTTGTGGCGATTTCTTTAGCACAGGCATGCCGAAGGATAGTTCATAAAGACAGGCATTGGAGCCCAGTGCCTATTAAACTGTGTCATAAAACAACAAAACAAAACAAACCAGAAACAGACAGGTAGTGGAAGGGCTGTTGGTAGTGTCTCGGCAAGCTGCAGGTGGATGCTACCCTGCTCCTTTCAGAGCTCAGGAAACTGAAGGGAAATGATCCACTCACTCAGGACCGGGAGGGTCAGTGCAGATGCCAGAGCTCAAATCCCTGTCTCTAGAGCCTAGGCCACACCTGCTTCCCTTCGGTTACACGTCATCGTCTTTAAACCCTGAGTAATCTGTAATGTAGCATGGGTGTTTGTAGGAATATTTCCTACCCGAGTGCAGTCTTTCAAGTACTTTGAAAGTTTTATTTATTTATTTTTTTGCATCAAAATCAACTGTGAATTCCATGTGCATGAGGGTTCTGAAGTCCCCTCGTAGTTGTGCAACATATTGTTTTTCTGTTCATGAACTGAGTTTTGTTGAGCTTGGGAGGATCTGTGTGGGTTGCTTGTCAGGCGTAGGATTGTGTAGGTGGTGAGATTTGCTGCTGAGTTTGGATGTTCTTCCTGAGCTGCACTGCCCTGCCATTCTGAAAGCTGGATTGTACTTTGGGATCCAGAAGTTGAGTGTGAGCATTCCTGCTTCCCGGTGCTTGCTTTTTATGTGCTTTCAAGAAGGGGTGTGCTAAGGGTACTCAAGGGCAGCGCAGTGTTGGCTGGGATTTTAGTAGGTCGGGTCCCAAGTGGTGAAGGGTCAAGGCCAGCTGTGAAAGTGCTTGATTTCTCAGGTGACAACAAGGACAGTCGCATAGGACTATATAGCACGTGAAAAGTTGGGAAGATCAAGCAGAATGAAACCTGCACTCACTGTCTTGTTAATGTACATTGACAACCTCTAATAACATTGCGCAAACTACCACTTTGCTTCCAGAAAGCATCTGGCACCTCCTTTAAAAAGTATTCTTGTAAGTATTAAATTGAAATTCCGTACAAGAGAAGGTAGAAAGTGTAGGAAGCAAGACATGACCTCATCTTCCTGACAGAAGTGCCTGGATTCTTGTGTCCAGTTGTGTAGGTTTGCCTAAGGCCCCTGTGTCCCCCTTGCTCTGCTGCTCTGTCACTGTGGGTAACTGACAACATAGGACTGCGGTTTGGCCTTCAAAGCCAAACCATGGTAGTTGGTCATAGCTTGTTTTATTTGTAAATTGAGCAGAGTGGAAAGAGAATAAAGAGAACTTGCACCTGCTTCTTTACTGCCTGGAATGTCTTTCTCCTGGTGCTGGGCCAGGCTGCAGTCAGTCCAGGTCTCATGTGGATGGAAGGGACTTGGATGCTTGGGATAGTCTCTGCTGTCTCCCAGGGAATGTACTGGCAGGAATCTAGACTGGAAATGAGATTGGGACTCCCAGGCACTCTCCTATGGGATGTGGGCGTGTCCAGTGGTGTCTTCAGTGCTGTGCCCGATGCATGTGCCCCCCTGGATCATGATTTGACACTGACGTAGTCTGTGCTCATATTCCTCATTTTTATTAACATGGAGGCACTCTTTTTTTTCAAGTTAGGGATTATATATATATAAATTAATTTTCAACTTTAGGAGTGAAACACTTAAAAGATTGAGAAACAATTCTGTTTAATTTAATAATGGCTTAATGAAAGCCAGGGAGCACAACATCTCAACTTGATCTGATGCCTTTTTTGGTGAGATATCTGATGACTCTAGGCGTGGCTGTTTTGTTTTCTCTGTCCCCACCTTTTGTTTTTCTTCTTTTAATGGATGCACTTTAGGACTTTCCTTTAACCTAGGCAGCCACGTTGTCCTCTGACATCTCACAAATTCTTACCTAGGAAAATACCGGGGTTTTGTCCCTCATTCAGCCTCAAAGATGACTGGTGGATATTGTATTTGGCAGGTCTGTTTTAGGGCTGTGAAAGCAAAGCAGTATGGTAGTTTTGTGTTTCTGACTGTAGTGTGGGGTCATTATTTGTACAGTTCCTGTCTTGAAGACACATCACCCTTGTGACTGAATTCCCTTGCTCCTGGGCTGGTTGGAGGCTGTCCTAGGCCGACTGCTAATTAGCCAAGTGGCTTAACAGTGCCATTTATTCTGCTTCCATACTGGCGCATCACCCTGGAGACTAACAAGGGGTATAGATGCTTCCTCCTGCTTCCTGCCAGCATTGTAAAAGTGTGAAAGAGACCGAAAAAAAAGCGCTTTTTTTTTTGAAAGTTGCCAGGAAAATTTACATTACATGTCTATTCTTGCATGTGAACTAGCAGGCTTTCTTCAGAGTCTGCTATGAATTGTCACAGGAAATCAGAGAAGTGACCTGGAGACGTGGGCTCGGTGTCTGTTTAACCAGAATCATTCCTTCCTCTGTAATAAGAGGAGCTCGACAGAAGAGCTAACCACCAGACTGGAAGTTCTGTCTTCCGTTTTAGCTCTTCATGTGTTTGACACTTTAAGCGGTTCATGGTGGTGATTCCAGTTCAGCTTTAAAGGATAGTTAATGAGGACTGAGTTTATTCACACAGCATTTCAAGGTCATGAGTAGATGTTTGTTTGAAGATAAGTTCTGTCTGATTCCAATATTGTGTGCATAACTCAGTTCTGGAGGACTTAAACTGTGATTATGCAGCTTTGGGGAAATTTTGCAATAATGAAATTTTCAGCTGAGAAAGTTGTAGAGTTTCTCTAGATTTGAGTTTAGCAGGGCTGTCTCTCCTCCCTTTGGACTGAGAATGTGGGAGGGTTTTTTTAGGCTGTGTGACCCAGCTTTCCAGTTGGGTTGCTCAGTCTGTGTAAAATATGGGTGCCCCAGTTACAACGAAGTGCGTTTCTCCCTTTTCTCCCAGTTATTCCCTTGGGGTCACGTTTACCTGCTCTTTCCAAGTCCCAAAGGGTTGCAAACCGAGTTACAGTTCTTGTCATTCTCTAAGTTTGTGCAGGTGCAGGTGCTTGGCTTGTATTTCCTGATTTAATTTTCATCTAATGAGCTATTTAGGAAATACTTGTGTTGACTTTTGGAGAACTGCTTTAAACCCTTGTTGTACAAAGGTAGTGAACGGCAGTTTAAGGAAACTGATTTTTTGTTTTGTTTTGGTAACTTTCATTTATTTATCTTTTGCAGAGGAGGGTGGAGGTTTTGGATCTGTTGTGTAAATGGTCTCCCCGCCCCACCTCCTCCCTTTCTCCCTTCATTGGGGTTTGTTTCCAGGGAACATGCATAGCACATATGCATATTCCTGGGAATAGTGGCCAATGGTCAGGCACCCTGGAATGGGGCCTGAGCTGGGCAGAATCAGCGAAGGGTCCTTCTGCCTTCCTTGGTGGTTCGCACGTGGCTAAGAGGTTGCTAATGGGAAAGAACGTTTATGTGTGTGTGTGTTTCTATATGTGTCTGCTTCAGCAATTGCTACCTTTGGCTTGAGGTGTCTTCTCAGTGTCCCAGAAGCACCAACACCCACTCATTATAGTCTGGGAAAGC